ATATCCAAAAAAAAAAAAAAAAAAGAGACGGGAGATTGAGAGAGGAGACGATCGAAAAATAAAGAAGAAATGGAGCATGGTTCGAAAAACAGGGAAAAAATACAGAGGAAGACGGAAAGAAAACAATAAAGACCAAGCACTTTCCTAAACTTAAAATGTACAATAAATAAAATAAATAAAATTAATAAAATAAGACGTAAAATAAATAAAATAAATAAAATAAAACGTAAAATAAAAAAAAAAGGTGTATAAGAAAGAAAAAAAAAATGTAAAGAGGGGAAAAATGAGAAAGAAGTTTATCCATTCGGATTTCTCGAGGATGACAAGAGAGGGGAGAGCAACAGCACTTCCAACTCGAGAGAGGAAATTTCGCATCACGACGTGATTCTTCGCTTCCGCGATCGTCATAAACTCTCGACGAGCACGAGCGTGGCCGTGGTCCGGCTGTTTTAATTATGACGCACTTTGGAGAGCATATTACACACCAACCGGCCGGTGGCACGATGCCGAAAATACGTCGATGAAAGACGCGCGATGACGCTCGAAAACGCCAGGTCGGCCTGAACTGCGATTACACACATAAATCTCTAACCCAAATAAATCGCACGGAGGACACGATTCCTCGGGTTCGTGGATTGCTTCGCGATGATTCGTTAATTCGTAAAGAGCGTGTGTAGTGAAAAAGAAATGAAAAGAGAACCTCGTCGACATTTTCTTGGTACTTCTCGAGAGACGAGTACAAGGTGGCCACTGAAAAACTAAGAAAGTCATAACTTGTTCATTTTCAATCTTCTTTATTTTCCTTTTGTGTTGATAATATTGAAAAAAAATTATAAATTATAATACAATTTATATAAGTTACAAATGTATATAAATGTTTATAATTTTTTAATTATAATTTATAATTTTATAATTTTTTTATATAATTTATAATTTTAAAATTTATATTTATATAAATTTATATTTTATTTTTATAATTTATATTTATATAAATTTATAATTTTATAATTATAATTTATAATTTTTTTATATAATTTATAATTTTTTTTATATAAATTTATAATATTTTATTTTTATAATTTATATTTATATAAATTTATAATATTTTATTTTTATAATTTATATTTATATAAATTTATAATATTTTATTTCTATAATTTATATTTATATAAATTTATAATTTTATAATTTATATTTATATAAATTTATAATTTTATATAAGTAAATTTTATATAAATTTTATATTTATAATTTTACATAAATATAAATTATAAAATTATAAATTATATTTCCAAATAATTAAAAAAAACATATGTTTCTAAAAGTTATTTCCGTTTTATTCAGTCGTTCATTCGGTGACCACCATATAAAAAATTTTTTCCGGATTTATTTTTGCTCCTAAAAGTATCTGCGAGCATTCTTCCGGCGAAACTATCATTATTTACGTAGATTACACGTAGAAAAGGATGACATCGCTGTTAGATAAAAGCAGAGACAGCCGTGGACCAAGTTGCCCGTCATTTTGCGTCCTATTATCCGTCGTTATCTATCTCTGCCTCGGTCGGGATCGTAGGCGTAACCCGGCCGGGGGATTATGCAGAACCGACGCGCTTAAATTATTAGAAACACGTTCTGTAAATACACGTGGAGATCTTTGGACGAACGTCACGCAACGCGTGTAACTTTAATAAACGTTAACGCTAGATAAACCGCGCAGCATCGTTACCATCCATGTGCGGAAAATCTCTTGTGCAACCTTCGTCCAATCGTTACATTTTGTTCATGAATATTTCATTTTCCAAGCAGGTGGCAACCACCGATTATACCAAGCGTGCGGAAAAGCATCGAAAAGATGGAATGAAATAAATGGAGTTAACCTCCTGCACTAGTAACTGGTTCGCGGACCATAACGAGTGACCAAACCGTATACGATAATTCGTCTTCATTTTAAATTCGTCGGTGTATCACTGGATAGAAATTACTAAGGTTACTTTATTATTTGCTTCGCCTGGGTAATATCTCAATATACTTAAGACTGAGAAAATATTGCAATTTTGGGAAGAGGTTAAAGGAATTTAATAAAAAAATACACGAGTTAGAAGTACAAGCAAGATGAGCAAACCGATCCTAAACGCATCATAAACAGCGTGAAGTTACTCGCGGATGTGTTGGCCTGATCTCTGCGTGAAAAGAAACGGATATATATGTGTTTACTCAACTGGCTGAAGGTGAAACGTGATAGGCGCAATTTCACTGCATTAATCCTCCAAGATAAACAGAATTGTGTTGGTAAAAGTCTAATCTATGGATTTCAGATTAATGTGCCTCGCATAATACCAGTTTGTGACGTAATTAAAATTAGTGCACAGTTACATATTGCGACTCGAATACACCACGTTATGCATTTGCATGCATTTGCTTGAATACGTTTGTGTCATTCAGACGAACGCGCAAAAAGTTATATAGATATATATATAATAATTAAAAGCATAAAATATGTAATAATATATATGTATGACGAAGCTAGCTTCCAAGGGTATGGACTTTCTCAGAATAAGTTTCTCGATAAATGGTTGACGCACTATCGGTACGTTATTACTAATGAATACGTACGTGATATGACTTTTATGATAAAAATATTTAAATATTTATTAAATTATATAAATTATTTAAATGATAAATTATATTTAATATTTATTAAATTATATATTTAACTAAAGTTAAATTATTAAGTTAAATAAATTATAAATTATATATTTAATTAAAAGTTAAATTATTAAATTATATAAATTATAAATTATATATTTAATTATAAAAGTTAAATTATTAAATTTTATAAATTATAAATTATATATTTAATTATAAAAATTAAATTATTAAATTATATAAATTATAAATTATTAAATTATTTAATTTATAAATTATATAATATTTAACATTTAATTAAAAGTTAAATTATTAAATTATATAAATTATAAACTATTAAATTATTTAATTTATAAATTATATAATATTTAATATTTAATTAAAAGTTAAATTATTAAATTATATAATATTTAAATATTTAAATATTATATAAATTCAGAAAAACATGCAAAAATATTCAAGTTCAAGAAAATGTATACCATTTTAAGCTTGATATATCTTCAATTACACATACAGTAATCTTAATTTGAAACAGACGGCCATCTTTAAAAATGAAGATTCAATATGCACACTTGTAGATAGAATCGTGGTAAACATGATAAGTGAAATAATCAAAATGTTGAATATTCCGCGAGAGAAACACATATGTGTGTGTGTGTGTATCAGTTAATTAATCAGCAACGTAATGTGTATCCTTGTTTTTCTTCGACGCTTGGCGAATTTTGATAACGAACGCGAAGAAAGTTTCGAAAGGTCTTCCTTGACCCATAACGCGTGCGAACGAAAACGTCGTGCAATTATGTTTGTTACTCCCCTCGAGACAATTCCCTCTTCTTCCGACGCAACCGACTCCCTAATCTCAAGCATAGTTCGTGAAATACGTAATTCGTGGACTGAAGGAAAAAAAAGAGTGAGAAAAAAAGCGCTTCTGATGGAAAACTCAGCTTTGACGTCAATTCCTTTGAAAAAAAAAAGAAGTCACCGGTAATCACTCGTTGCGGCGATAATTATTCCGATCCGTCGATGACGATTGACGGACAAATGATCGCCGATGATTGACAGGAAGTACGTAGGTTATTTGTACACAGAGCGTTAACCTAAAAATAGCAGAGTGATTTATATAATCGTCAAACGATAACATAATCGATCGATGGCATAAACGTAAAGTAGAATCACACTGACGAAAGCGAAATTTCGCTTACGAAATACATATATAATTCCTTCGAGGGAGAGTGAGAGAGAGAGAGAATTTAACACTGGAATTACCGACAAGCATAAAATTTCCATGCAGAGACAGATTAATGTAAAATCTTGATAATACAATTGCACAAGCTTTTATTTATCATAAGCTTTGTATTTTACAATCATTTAAGTCTCTAAAAATACACCGTTTTATATCTATGAAATATCTAACAAAAATTATTAATTGGTCATTTTGGCCATTCTGGTAATTCTAGTTGTTATACTCCCCAAGAGAGAAATAATTAGTATACAATTTAAGAAATATCACTGGAATTTGGATTCAGCTAGGTTAGGTTACTAACTATAATGCACTAAGTACACATCATTATCGTATGAAATACAAAATGCAAAATATATTATAAAATTAGTCATTTTGGCCATTTTGGTAGTTCTAGTGATTAAATTGATTATCTTGAGGATTTGATGAGACTCAAGATCCCCGTTGCTATTTGAATGTACTATTCCGACACGACAGACGTGATACATTTGTAAAAAAGTTTCTAGTACATCGTACTATTATGCTACATCCTCGGAAAATCGTATCAGCGAGAATTAACCATGTACCAACTAACCGAATGCCACTTTCCTCGGCCGAAATCTCGAAATTAAAAACGATTAAAACGTACGAATGAATCGCGTCGGCGGCGTGCACGTAATCGTTTAGTTTATCAACGCGAGAGAGAAAAAAAAAAGAAATCATTCGAGGAAAGAGTAAACCAAACAGACAGAAAAAGAGAGAGAGAGAGGGGGGGGAGAGATGTCAGCAACTAACCGACCACGTGGTGGCACACGAGTTATTTGCCTTGCAATTACACCCAAGAACAATTAACGACGAGCCGATAGTAGCACGTACGTTGACGTCAATTGTCGAAGATAACGTGTGTGTGTGCGCGTGCGCTGGTGTTGCGACGCGGCGCGGTGGGGAGGGGGAACGACGCACGCGAGAGCGGTAGTGGGGGTGGATACACGGTGGAAGTGTACGCTAAGAATGGCAGAACGAGGGGAAGGGGATACGAGGGGGCGGAGGCGAATCTAAAGAGAAAGAAAGAGGCGAATCTAAAGAGAGAGAGAGAGAGTGACGAGGCCGGCGACTCTAGCATAGCAGGGGGGTAGCAACATGGCCGTCGGTCAGTCGGTATCGAACCGCCGCATCACGCGAAGCTCTTACGACTCCCGTCGTAGGACCGACCGCCACTTCGAAACGAGATACGAGAATCTCGTGAACGCGAAGGACAACCTTTTTTTTGGCTTACCGATGGCACCGGCTCTCCGGCCTTACGCACCCGTCGAGGTCGGCAGCGCCAACGCGACTCTCTCGCTTCTACGACGGTTCCACGACCGGTCCGGAGCGTGCCGTGCCCGGTAATTCGGGACAGAGGATCGAATCGTAAGTAGCGAGCGCAGTTGTCACCAGCAAGCCGTATTACACTTGTATCGTATCGTGCCGCGCTCGTGTGGAGTTCACAAAACTGAGTTCGACTATTTCAACGTGGTCTCTCTTTCCCTTTGTCCATTTATCACGCGTACCGTCATTTTCTTTCCTTCTTCCCTCTTATCGAGGACTATCGACGGGTATCGATCCTGGACCCGTCGATAGGCAAGAGGTCGTTGTCGATCCGTGACGTCAGCTCTCGGAATACCTATTGTACTTGTTGCAGGAAGCTTTTGCACATTCGCGAGAGGAAGAGCCTCCCTCGGCTTTCGAAACGTTCCGAGGGGAACAACGGCGTCGTTCTGCGCATACGAGCGCTGAACCGCTGAACCGCCGAACCGTTGACAATGTTCTTCTCTTCGATCGCCGCGTATTGTTCGAGTCGAGTTTCTTGTCCCGTAGAACTTTCGTGTACGGGACACTCCACGCACTGTCTAGCGTTAGAGAAAAAGACAACGAAAATGCATCGCCGTTGTTAAACAGACTGCTCGAGAGAATGAAAAGACTTTATGTCGCGACAAACGAGGAAACGAGGAAATGTCGATTCAAACACATACTAAAGCACGCGTGTCTTCTCATTTTCCAGTGATTTCAAACTTGCACGAGGGGAAATTCGAAGGACACGATCGTTCGTTGGTAAATTGATTTTCCGATAAAAATGGATTCCGGTGTTGGACAAGGGAAGAAACAGATTCGCGTGGGATTTTACGATATCGAAGGCACCATCGGTAAAGGGAACTTTGCAGTGGTAAAATTAGCTAGACATCGCATTACCAAGACAGAGGTAGATATGATTTATTTCAACGTACAACACTCGTTTGCTATTTTCTTCGTTTCAATCTAATTCTTCCTCTTTCTTTCTTTCTTTTTTTCTTTTTATTTTTTTTTTTCTTTTCTTTTTTTTCTTTTAGGTGGCTATTAAAATAATTGATAAAACACAATTGGATCCCACTAATCTCGAAAAAGTTTACAGAGAGGTAGAAATAATGAAGCAATTGGAACATCCACACATCGTCAAGTTGTACCAAGTAATGGAAACAAAGAATATGATATACATGGTACGTTTGAACAATGTTTTGAATCAAGTTCCAAGAATTTAGAAACAGAGAAAACAGAGTTTTGTGTGTTCTCTCGTTAGGTGTGCGAATACGCAAGTAAGGGTGAGATCTTTGATTATATCGCAAGATACGGGAGAATGGGAGAACCGAGGGCCAGGGCAACGTTTGCTCAAATACTTTCTGCGGTTGAATACTGCCACGCGACGGGTGTAGCGCATCGTGATCTCAAAGCTGAAAATTTACTCTTAGATGCGCAGATGAACGTGAAAATTGCTGATTTTGGCTTTAGCAATAGATTCTCACCTGGGGAGAGATTGAGCACATGGTGTGGAAGCCCTCCTTACGCGGCGCCAGAAGTTTTTAGAGGGAAACACTATGCTGGTCCTGAAATTGATGTGTGGGTAAGCAGCTTACAATGTGTTTACATCACATGTAACGCGTAGTGAAAATAGTTTACGACACTGTGGTTTTATTATTGCAGAGTTTAGGTGTTGTATTATACGTGTTAGTATGTGGAGCACTGCCCTTTGATGGATCTACTCTTCAGTCTTTAAGAGATCGCGTTTTGAGTGGAAGATTTAGAATCCCGTATTTTATGAGTACAGGTATTTTTTACTGTTCAATTATTTGAAAGTTCTCTGGATGTTCAGTTTAATCTTATCTGATAGAATTTTAACTACTTTATTGCAGATTGTGAAAGCTTAATACGTAAAATGCTGGTTCTTGAGCCTACAAAGCGATATACCATTCCACAAATAAAGAGACATCGATGGATGGCTGGATCAGCAGACACTATTTGTTCAATGATTATAACCAGATCATCGTCTTCGTCCATCCAAGAACCAAATGAACAAATACTTCGACTTATGCATAGTTTAGGCATAGACATCACAAGAACCAGAGAGGTATATATACATATATATATACCTATTTGTAATATTACAGAAAGAAAAAATATAGTTTTAAAATAATTTGTATTTTCTAAACGAAGCTTTTACTTCTTTCAGTCACTAAGGAATAGTAGTTACGATCATCATGCTGCTATTTATTTCTTATTGTTGGAAAGGTTAAAGCAACATCGTGTCAGCAGCACAGCAAACAATACTTGTTGGCCAAGCGTTGCAAGAACAAAAGATGACAAATTCAAATCGAGGTACACTTACTTTACTTCGCTAATGTTATTTTAAACGTTAGTATTTTTACAGTAATTTTTATTTATAAGATATTTTCATTAAAATAACAGTCTTCTTATCTTCCAATCCTGCCCGTTGAAAGAGTTCGTAAAAAATTAAATTTTAATTGTATAATTTTTATTTACAGTGATAGCTTAGTGGAACGTTGATCTTTATTCACGGTGATGCATGTATTGAAGATTTTGTCAGGACAGGTTGGATTGGAAGTGCTTTGCTGTCACTTTATTTTTGGTAATTCTTTCATTTTATTTCAATTGTTTTTCCTTTTATCTTGAGTTATAATTCCTTATCACTGAATCTGCAGTGAACTTCTCTTGTTTTTACACCGACGTTCGCCTTATATAATTTTCGTTATGTCATAATTCATGATTCTACATGTAATTTTTACATGTAGTTATTTTTAAAAAGATTTATAAAAATAATGCAGCGCATAAACGAGACAGAAGTCCAATAAAAAAAAATCTTCATATTCATCAATATTTATCCGTTTGTCAAGTAATTACAATATCTTATAGGGGAATTTGCATTATTTTTAGAACAAGAGAAGACGCGACTCGAGGAGGGAAAAGATTTAGTTCAACTAGTTCTTCAACTGACGAAGGATGCTGTAGCGCGGAAGGTGATTTGGAGGAAGGTCCAAGCGGTGATGAATTGAGAGAAGCTCAAATTAAACTCGAGGAACATAGACTAGGCCTAGATCATGATATCAGTCAACGAATTGACAGTCAAATAGTCAATCGAAGATTAAGTGATTACCAACAGCATTTTGATACCCCACTTATGGATTCTATTGATCCTCCTAGTCGAACGACACTGTTTATTGCGGGTGGTAGCGGCAGTTCATCGTCCGAGCTTTTTGAATCTAGTTTTGATTCTGGTTGTCCACCAGACTACTCAGGGGCAAATTCATTTACAAGTAGCCTGCCCTCTTGCACGCCTCCGCCACCAATGAGCCCATCGCCAATTACCGGTAGAATATCGAGAGTTTTTCAAGGTCGTAGAGCTTCAGATGGCGGACCTAGATTATTATTCTGTCAACAAGGCGGAGGAGACAGACCGACCAAGCAGCGAAGTATTCAAGGTGCCGAATTATAAAGATCTTTTCAACTGCACGTACAAACTTTTCGTCGTGATGATCGAAGTCGTGACATTTGTTTTGCTTTCACAGATTCTGGGAAAGCTAGAGGCCATTTAGATCTTGTTCATTTGAGACCACCATCTACACCACCAGAAAATCAAACACAGTTCAAAATACGTGGCGACTCCAGTACACAGCTGCAGCTGTTAGTGCAGCAGCGTATGTTGCAACAGAAACGAAACTTATACCATAGACATAGAGGTGGAGGGAGTCCAACTCCGATACCAGTATCAACGAGTACCACGGGTAGACGTGCTGATCACGTACCGAGACAGGACAGTTATAAATTAGCTCAAAGAACACAGATCTTACCACCTTTATCTCAGGGACATGTTGATAGAGACTTTGATAGAGAAAGAAAACGAGATGAAGAAAGATGGAAAAGTCTGCCATCTCGACTTGCAGCAGATTGTCAGTTAGCAGAAAGGACACTGCTGTGGAGCCAACAGGTAATTCTATAAATAGAAATTTAAAAAATCGTTCGCGTTGAACTGTCTAATAAAAAAAAAAAAGTTATCGGGTCGAAATGAAAGAACGCAAAATAACTTGTTGGTATCTGTCCAACGATCCATGACGTCATTGTTCTTTTGGAGTAAATTTAAATCGTGCCAAAATTGCGTACCTATATTCGGACTCAAACATAGAGTATTATGTTACTTGTTCCTTTCATAATGTTAACATTGTTGTGAACGTGTATCATGTTCACAACAATGAATTGATGTAAATATTAGTATTGTTTATGATATTAGCGATTAGACGTTATTTGTGATACGAAAGCACAATTATTTGTGTTAGATGCAAATAAATAATTATTTTTCTTTAATTTGGCAATTTATTGTTCACTCTAATTTGCCTTACTTCTGTGCATGTACCAACCCTCAATTGAACGTCTCTGTACAGTTAACAAAATAGTACGTATCTTTTTCAACAATAAGAAATGATTGGACTATTGTATATATACCTAAAAGTATACCTAAAAGTAAAAGAAGTAGAAAATGAAATGGTTATTTTGATAACTGTGCGCAATAGAAATTTGAATAGTTTACAACTTACTTGCCTGTTATGTACACGAACAATAACACGACATATGCACCGATTACATGATTCAACAACCACGCAACGTAAAGAACATATATATTAGCACAACTGCGATCGAAGAACCCTTGAACAATGCAATGTTAAAACACCTAAACATTAAGCTTGGAAAATGCATATATCATTTGTAGCACCTTTCCCCTTATTTGGCTTCCTAGATTTTATTTCTTAACATTTTGTAATGAAGATATTAAATACAGAAATGACATACAAAATGTAAATAATTTAAAGAAGAAAATATATCAGGTGGGCCTCAGTGGAGGAGCATCATATTTACCACCTGGCAGTGTAGGTGGCTTCTTGTGGCCCACTGGAAGCAACCCTCATTCAACCATCTTCGAAAACGTTGGAGATACAATGGAATGAACACCTAACCCTGTTGTATTTTTAGTATTGGAGATTTTGAGTCTGAAAGACTAGATTAGATACATGAAATACAGTAAGCAGTATTGCCTTCCTAGTCTTTCCATATCAGTATTTTTATTTATATAATTATGTATTTTATTATATATATTTTAAGTATTCAAGAAGAATGTTGTGTAAATTTCATTGTAGAACTGTTTCCTCCGTGATATATTCTAGCTTTCATACACAAAATCTTTGATTAAATGGAAGGTACATGTTACTAAATGTCAAAGATTTTAATGAAATTCGGTTTTTGCGATCAGTATACTTTGAGCATCATACGTTATCACATATCTTTATACATTCTTATACTTCATTCATTAAAAATACATGCATATATCGTATATATATAACGAAAATGTAAGCATTGTTAAAGAATCTTTGTCATGTAGTAACACGTGCGCCTGCCTTATTAACTGGCTGATTTTATCAGTCAAATATATCCAATTATATCATAGACTGATAATTAACAAGAGAAAACACCAACCGAGTTTATATTCATGAGCAAGTGGCATATGTCTTGCTTTTCAATGGCTATATTTAATTGGAAGTACAATGTGTATACGCGTGCACATTTTAATGACAATTAATGAAGAGTGCTTTTGATGTGCTTCCTGAATACATTTCAGCAAATTATCATATAATGATGAGAACGTGCGTGTCTATTACTTTTGTATTAAAACGCAATAGAATCATAGGGTGATATACAAAAATCTGAATGCATTCAATGATTAATTTATGAATTTTGTAACTTCCATTTGAGAGTTCGAGATAGCTAAGTCAGCTAGATGTATCCAGTCCACAGTAAAATTTAGAAAACGAAATAAGAAGAATCAGTGCTCAAATAAAAGAACAATTATAAATATGTCATAATGTAAGATAGAGGCACGATGATAATCTTCACTTCACAGAAACACTTGAGATTGTGTAAACATTGTGTAGAACTGAATGCAAGAACTATGCCACTTATGCTTTTCTATGCAATTTATTGAAGAGTGGAGTTGGTAAAATGAGAGAGCGAGAGAGAGAGAGAGAGAGAGAGAACGAGAGCGAGAAAGGAAGAAAGAGAACCACGTTAAAGTTTTTTGTTACACGTTTTTATTGATAACTATTCTAATAATGTTGTACAAAACTAAGTGTTTCATCATTCCACTCTTCATCATGATCGTTATAGAAAATTAAAAAGTAATAAAAACAATAAATAGTAATAAATAGTAGCTGCTGTTTAAAAAAGTAAAAAAAAAAAGTGCTGCATTCTGTAAAGATGTTTAAATAAAATTGTTGTATATATTTGTATTTTAACAAATGGCAATGGCTGTTCATATTTTGAATTATACGTTTTGTATAGTACGTTATCATTTTCAACATAAATTAGAAATTGCACCAATAGTTAACGATGCCATTTTGCATAAAGTACAAAGTTGCCATTTTACTTGGAATAAAAATGAAACGGTTTGCTTTATGTGCACGATTATCATTAAGTAAGGGAAGGAACATATTTGTACATTTTGATACGAATACAGCACTTTTTGAAAGCAAATATGTATTAGGTTTTAGTAGTCTAGTCAGTAGGAAGCAATACCGGCCGCGCACAACTGACAACGACTTTAATATTCAAATTTTCCGCCATTTTTTACCCAACAAAAACAATCAAACTTCGCTCAAAAATCTTTTGATAAGTAAAAAAAATAGCTGTTAAGTTAGCATAATCATGCGAGATCTTGTTCTGGCACATTGTTCTCGAAAAAAAAAGAAAAAACATTCCGAAAAACTGTTTTATAGAAACTCAGGAATTGAAAATCGGTTTTGGCATATTTCCATCCGTGTCTTTTTCGTAATGATAGATTCGAAGTTACGTGAAACAGGAATCATCTTGAGATAGATCGTGTCACTGATTTATCGGTGTAATAAAATAAATTTATTTAACTTTACAAAATAATTTTTACCAGCAGTGAAACCATTTGCAAAAACAACATTAAATTATTGTTTCGCGACGTACTGTCCAATTGATGCGTACAGACACTTTGTAAAGTAATTATTTACCATCAATTAATTTAATATTTAATTTTAAAAAAAAGCATTGAAAAATAATATAATTACACGAAAACTAATGAAAACATGACGTATATTCTATTCAAAATTGAGAAGACCGCTTTTCTACTTGCGATGTTTTGTACCAAATTAATGTATGGTTTTTTCTTAAATTTAGGGACGATGGTAAATAAGTACTGTTTATAAATAACAAAACTGTCGACAAATGTATACATTGCGCGTACGAGCATATTGAATAAAACATTATGCAAATTATAAGATTACAAAGCTATTTTATTTATCCTAGTTCTTTTTTTTAAATTTACAACTCAAGTTAAACTCAAGTTTTCGGTTTTATTTCCATTTCGAAAATATCTGTACCAGTTCTCTCAGCCTGGTTTCTAGCTTCTGTGGGTGTCAGTTTTTCATATTCACTGGGATTCAATGGTTCGCCATTTGGATCTAATTGACCCTCTTGGAAGTCTTTCTTAATTTTATTAGCATAGTGCAAATCAAACAAGTCTTTAGCGGTGAATTCACGCTTGTTGACATCCTGAACTCTATAAGAAACGTATGGCTTTAAATGAAAGTCTTTCAGAGAAGGAACAACAAGTTCTGGTATCATTTCTGGTATGTTAACCCATTGATTGCCGTTCCATCTGCCTGTTGGCTTTACACCTCTTCCTGAAAGTGTTCATTAATTACCAAACAAATTGTATCATCAAACCATGGCGACCACTAAAAAATGTAAGAGATCATACTGTCAATAGGAATATCATAATGTGGATCCTTGGCTCGTGCTTCTTTATATGCACGGTTACCCTGTTTATTGTACAGCGTAATCATACGAAAATTACGTTTACCATGACATTTCGATGACGTCGATATTTGTCGGGTTATAACTACAAACGTGGATGCCATCTTATTTTCTACAAGAAAAAGATCACTTACATACTAATTAGAAACACTTTCAGGCAAAGAATAATTTCTCTTGCACGTTCTACATACAAATGAAAATATAACCTAATACAAGAAAAATAACCTAAAATCGTAGATTACATTTTGCATTAATCGCTTGAAGGAAGAATGTTGAGGTGTCAATTAGGCTATAATGTAACTATAAATATCAACTACAAATGTATTAATCCCTTTTAATCCTTAATTAATTTCTTTTACAAATAAAGATGTGTTTTATGGACACTGAAATACTAGCGCCGCATAGCGATGAAACGATGGAACTAAAATCTATTCCTATCTTTAGCGCTCTTTGTCACACTATATAATTCTGTCCATGAATCGACCAAATTTTCATTTATAAAAAAAACTAATCGGGAGGATTAATTTGCGAACTTTTATAATTATATTTCTACAATTGAACCGTCAATTTTCTTCCTATATATCATAGAAAATGCATGTATAAAAGAATTTACAAATTCTACTTAACAGATGAAAGATAGCTCGTTCAATTAACATTTAATTTCTCGCAAGCCACATGTAAATTAGGATCAGAATTATTCAAAAAATTGGAAAAATCAAATTGAACAAAGTATTAAATTAAATTCAAGTATATTTGAATACTACTTTCTATAAAGCACACTTCAAATCATTATCTTTTCATTATGCGAGCTTTATATCCGCATCGCATGGAACGACGTGACCGCATTTTCCTGCAGGTAGTCAATCTAAGACATTTTCTATAAATGGTTAAATTCACTGGCACTATAGTCAGTAATTTTTAACCTAATCGTGTAAATAATACGAGTGACGGATTATTTTCAAAGTGAATGATCATCTTTTTTAATATAGCATAGAATTAGAATAATTGAGAATTATTATATATTGTATATTTCTCCATCGTAATTTTATTTTAAAACTCACAGGATATAAACGTATCGTGTATTACACATAATACAGTTTTATCCATTTTATAATCATTATCTGATTCTTAATACAACGATTCGGTAGAGTAAAATCATGTCTACAAATACACCACACGTGGAAAAGGAGTTGGATTTAAGTAACGCTGGCAGAGGTGTATGGTTAGTGAAGGTACCTAAGTACATAGCGAATAAGTGGGAGAAAGCACCTGGCAATATAGAAGTTGGCAAATTGAAAATAACCAAGTACGTTTTCACTTAGTATTATCACAGTATCAGAACTTTACTTTCATACTGAAACTAACTTTATATATATTAGGAATCCTGGTCAGAAAGCGGAAGTATCTCTTAGACTCTCGGAGGCTGTTTTAGCATTAAAGGAAGCTGGAGAGGAGGAAATTCCAAAACAGCATAGGTTAGATGTTACGACAGTAACGAAACAAATGTTAGGTGTATTCTCTCATGTCACACGTAAGTCATTAAAAAGATGTTTTCTTTGTAATGTGTTTAATGAATTCCTATTTTTTCTTTTCTTTCTTTTTCAGCTTCAAGTAGCTCAGATTCTATAGTTCCTGAAACTGAAAAACTTTATATGGAGGGAAGGATTGTACAAAAACTAGAATGTCGTCCATATGGTAAAAGCTGATTTTCTAAATTATTTAAAATACTTTGTTACGGAGTAAACTTACGCATTTATGTGTATTATTTTTAGCTGATAATTGTTATATGAAGTTGAAACTACAAAGTATCAAAAGGGCTTCAGTCCCCCAGAGACAAGTTCAACAATTAGATAGGGTAGTTCAAAATTTCAAACCTGTGTCTGATCACAAACACAATGTAAGTTTTTTTTTTAATGAAACAAAGGATGTACATTTGCATAAGGTATTTTATCAATATTATCATCTTGATTTATCAATATTATCTTATAGATTGAATATGCAGAGAAGAAGAAGGCAGAGGGTAAAAAGATGAGAGATGATAAAGATGCGGTATTGGATATGTTGTTTGCTGCATTTGAAAAACATCAATATTATAACATAAGAGATCTTGTGAAGATTACGAGGCAACCAATTGTAAGTGCATACTATACTATCTTTTTTTACAGGTTTTATAGTTAATTGGTACACATATTTATATAGCAATAGTAATTTTAATTATTATTTATTTGTTTATTTTATTTTACTAGGTGTACTTAAAGGAAATATTGAACGAAGTTTGTAATTATAATCTGAAAAATCCTCACAGAAATATGTGGGAATTAAAACCGGAATATCGGCATTATAAAGAGGAAGAGAAATCTGAAGGTCAGAAAAAAGCAGACGAGTCGGACGATGATTAAAATTAAAGGTATTTGTGTATAGAAATATATATATTTTTTTAGCATTTCTGATTTATTTAAAATTCATCTTTAAGATTATGCAAAATTAACATTGAACGAATATTTTTTAGATGTACATATATTTATACCGATTTCGTTGCATCGTATCAATACAGGGGACATATTTAAAATAATTAAATTAATTGTCCCTTTATTTTTTTAATGTAAATCATTGAAAGTTGAATCAAGAATAGCATCAATCAAGAAGATTCTAGAATAAATATTATGATCTTTCTATTACAACAGGAGAAAATGTAAATTTGTAAAGCGTACATTTATACTTTATACAAGAAAAATTGTACTATTTAAAATAAATAATTATTGCAAGATCTATAAATATTTTAAAAAAATAACACATTGTACATAAACATCAAAATATTTAAAAAATAATAGTTACTTGTTACCACCTTATTTATAATAAATATGAATAAATATTTTTTTCCATAAACATGATGGAATAATAATTATTAAATGCTGACTTTATATGGCCAAGTTGCTCAATATTGTACATAGTATAACAGAAAAAGCAACTTATATTTAATAAAATATTGTTTTTTAATAAAATAGTCCCTCCGTATATACCCGTGTATAAGAATAAGAAAATACTAGTTAACATAAACTGACTAGAGCTGATCGCATATAGTGTTCTGTTGTTGAAATGAATAGTAAAGTTATATTTGTTGTATCGCCGTAAATAGTATAATTATAAAAATACGTGTTTCAAAATTAAAAAATAATATTTAAATATATTACTGTATAAATTGGTGTATCTTTCTTCAATTTAAAAAAGGTGAATGGATAATTTTTTTTATCCGTAAAAATAGTACTTAATCTGAATATTAGTTAGAAGTTTAAAATGCATTATAATACATATCATGGCAGGAATCAGTAAATGATAAATGCTTTCAATACAAATGTCTCTAGTTTTATGCATCATAGCATTATATCCAAACATCGACTCTACTTATAAACTATGAAATACTTTACTGAAATATGAAAAATATGTTTCTATTAAATAGAATGATATCGAGAATAATATTCAATAATTCTTTGAGTCTCTTGACTGTTCATAACTACTGATAAAATTTGAAGATCAAAACATTTTTAGCTTTAAACTAAGAAGCATTCGAAAGTGCAGTAATACTTTGTGTGTGCAAATTTACCATTTTCTTTCATCACATTTCTTTTCAAACATCAGCAGCTATCTTTAAACGTTAATAAAAGATTGGAACATTAACATTGGGTGACATCCGCATAAGACTTTGATCCCGACTTTTTGATTCGCCGGAATAAATACGACAGAACCTCGATAAAGAATCTTTGACGGTGAAATTTCACCCTTTCCATTTACGATTATTAAAACGCTAGCTGTGCTTCTTGGAATTATATTGTATGATGATCTTCCTGGAGGAATCTAGAAAAGATAAGAATTTTGATAGATTTAATCATTAATGAATAATCTATAATGGAACTTACTGTTATTTTGGCAACAGCAAAGTCTGGTACACAAGGACAAAATACTTCCGTACATTCGTCCTCGCGAGAAGGTTGAAATCTTTTCGCAGAAATTGGTTCGCAAGTGTACCTTAACATTTCAATTAACGTTGGCACATCTTTTAATTTAGGAGTTAATCCTGCGCGGACTACGTTATCAGAGCATGCCATACATTCAACGCAATCTATAAATATAGTTTCAGATTATAAACACGTATATCACTTATATCCTAGAGATGACACGATACAAAATATAAAATGCTAACCACCAGAAAGATATGCATGTGGTTCATTTGGTGGAAGATATATTGCTTCACCAGGCTGCATAGTTATAAAGTTAAAAAAATAAATGCCGAAACATCCTACATCTCCTGGAAAATCTGAATACAGTCTTTCCAACAAACTAGCATGTAAAGTTTGTCTTAAAGATTCATCTAAAAGAAATCATCGTCCTTGTTCATAGTAAAATAATAAATACTTAAATATTAAATTACCCCAAAAAATTACCCAAATTGGACAGCCTATCAAGCAATTTCCTAAGTTGCAAAGCTATTAATCCGGGATCACAGGTCATGAGACTGTGAAAACATGTTTTCAATGCTTCTGTGTCATTTGCTTCGTCTGTTGTCATAAATTTAAATACTTTATCTACTCCTATTACAGCACGCAATTCAGGCAGAATTTTTAGAAACTCTTGTATCTCTCTGATTGGACGGAAACCGCAAAGAGCTTCAAAAGGTGTTAATGCTATTGCAAGTTCTGGTTTATGATTTGCATCTTTGTAAATAGTAGGATATTGTTGATGCAACTGCTTCGCTTTTTCCTGTGAAAAGAGACAATGTTTAACATTGAGTCATTTTACCTGTATAACTACATATGTGCATACCTTATCTGGATGTACTTGAATAGACAGTGCTTTATTCACAGACAACACTTTAAAGAGAAATGGCAAATGATGACCAAATACTTTCTGAGCATCATTTCCTAACACATCACTATTTTGTTTTATGTACTCTTCCAACGATATATTTAAATCTTTCATATATGAAGGCCCATTAGGATGAGTACCTATCCACAGTTCAGCATATGGTTTTTTTTCATCTAATATAAAATCTGAGTTGGAAGATTTCATTAACGTTGCCACAATACTATCAATACCGTATCTTCCCCAATCATAAGTTTGTACTTTACATTTAAGCTCCATGTTACTCCAAAATACTTCTGAAACATCGAACAAAAAAGTCAATATCTACAGTTTTTCTAAAAAAAAAAAAAAAAAAATACTTCCGCACATTTTTTTTAATTATTTTATTAAATTTGTTATACCTTTGATGTACCAATAGGAAATATATTCCCAAATGAAAATTTTCTTTTACTTTCCAATTTGTATTCTGTAATAACGTTATTACATGTATTCTCTGCCAAAATATGCGATATTATCTTATTTTAAACAAAAGCATATGTTCACAAGTTTGCATAGCATTTGAGAGACTGACGTGGATAACGTCGAAACGACGTCAACTATTTAACATCATTTATGCAAATTATGAGCTTGATAAATGAACCAATACGTAAATACAATATTACCACCTATTTCGACAAGTACTACCCAAACTTTAATCGCGAACAGAACGGACCTTTGTCACTCTGCTTTGTTATCAGGGAAGATAGAGACAATGCTAATCTCGCATGTCCAGCGCAAATCTTCCGCGAGTTTCATATTTTTGAACTGAAGAATTCGAAATACAATCGATTACACTTACAATGGTCAAATAAAAAAATTCATCGCGTACAGAGCAGCCTATCTAACTAAATATGACTTATAATCAACAGATTAACTATCTCCATAGCGGAATATGTATATGAGGGTAAAATTTGTAAAAGAAAAAAAATCTGCGAAAGCTAAAGCTCTCTCTATTGTAGATATGTATTGTAGATATGTGTATACAAAATGTAATAGTTTAGTATACAGAAAGGATTAAAGTCACAAATCACGGGTGAAGAGCCTCACCCGTGATAACACTTGATACCTGATAATATCTGCAATATTTCAATTGCATTTCTCCGTTATCGCATTTACTGAAAGGCGTAACATTCTTTATTTTATTTTATTATACGTTTCGATTATTGTTTTTTTTAAATTCTGCAATATACTTTGTCCAAGATTTGTTCAGTTTGATGATTAATAAAATAAATGTATTCTTAAGATACTTCATAAGGGTTTGCGAGTAATTAATTTAATAAAACAAAAGGAGAGTCAAGTTACACAATATTTAATAAAATATTAATAAAATTTTACTTAAATTATTAGATTCCTGTAATTACATTTTCATTAACTTATGACTTGAATGTTACATATTTATTGCTGTCAAGTTTTTATGCGTCTATATATTTTTCTAATTATTGCAAAATATAGATGTATTTTATTGCAAAGTATAAATGAACAGAATAATAAATAACATACGAATTCTGAAAATATAAAAAAATATAATAAATGTAAAAAAGAAAGGAAATACATATCATACAGTGGAAATACTACTCTACGTAATTTATATATTTCGTGGTAATGACGACTCGAGTGTAGTCACATGAGTATCTGCCTTTTTCACGTATATCGTGTTCTGTGGCGTTAGACGTGCTGTACAGGTAATGCAAAAATATTTCAATATTGTTCAATAATTTACATCTACGTTTTAACAAATATATTTAAATATTTGTTGCAGCATTTTCGCTAAATAATGGTGGCCCAAAAGAAACAGGTGAATATACTTTCTCAAATACACACGTGCGCTGCTCAATTTGCAAAGCACATGTTAAACAATTATTTCTTCTCGATTAAAGTATAATATAACAATACGTAGACACAATAGTAAGTTTAGTATTTTGCTTTTAAGTAATTTTGAAATTAAATATTTTTTAAAAAATATCCGATAAGATCGAATAGCTCTTTAATAGCGTTAATGTTTTTTTAGAGGTTATAATTCTAATAAGTATGTATTTGTTCGTATTTAGAAAAAATCCCAGGAGGGTATCAACTCCAGGTTGGCCCTGGTTATGAAATCGGGAAAATATGTCTTGGGGTACAAGCAAACCTTGAAATCTCTTCGGCAAGGAAAGGCAAAATTGGTCATCATAGCAAATAATGCTGCACCTTTAAGGTGAGACTGAGATGTAGTACTCCTTCAATAACTGCAGTATGAGCAATATGAACAATATGAAATAGCCTTTTACATGGAATGTTAAAAAGCTTTCTTTTAAATTTTATATATTTCATATTGCTTATAATAGGAGTCCTACGGAGTAGTCTCACGTCTCTGCTCGTAAGTGCAGAGACATCCCACACATATTAATGGCTCGTAAGCTACAGATATTTGTTTTGTTTGTTTGACAGGAAATCAGAGATAGAATATTATGCCATGTTGGCAAAGACAGGTGTGCATCACTACATTGGAAATAACATAGAATTGGGTACAGCATGTGGAAAATACTTCCGTGTTTGTACTCTTTCTATCACAGATCCTGGAAATTCTGATATTATAAAATCTATGCCTACTGGTGAACAACCTTAAACGAACTTTTTATTGAATAAAATTTTAATAAAAACTTTCGTCTTGACTTTATTTTCCTACCTAGATTATCGAAAGCTAGTACCAAAACAATTTTTTACATTTAAAATAAAAAGTGTGCTAATACATAGGTGTCGTGTAGAAAGTGACTTTTGATTCTTATAGATGTCACTAGTTTCAACCAGATGCTTCCAAGCATCAATATTTATATCTCATTTGAAAATTGTCATGCCGCTATTTTGTAACGAATATGTTAGAATTAAGTTATATTTTTTTAATAACTATTTTCTGGCTAGCTTATTGTGAGGAACAACACTGTTTTATTGATAATCGGGAACGTTGTGTTGAAGAGAAAGAGGATAATATTTATAAGAAAGGTACTCATATAGATGATATTTTATGAATTTTGTTGAACGTTCATTTCATAAATTGCTTTTTTTTTTAAATAGATTTAAACGAGCATTATAATAAATATTATAATGCAATTGAAGAAGCGGAGAAAAATTACAAAATTTGTAATAACAGTAACAATGATTGTTATCAAGATGTTATTATAAATGATCTACAATCATTCAAGAAAGGCATAACTAGGGATTTAATAAACGTTGCAAAAGCTAAGTAAGTTGACAATTGTATATTATACAATAAGTGTCTTCTCAAATATAAAATTTACATTCTTTATAGAGGAACCTTTTACCAAATAATAGATGGGAAATTATATAGACAAAAAGATTGCATGTTTCCTTCAAGATGTTCTGGAGTAGAACATTTTCTTTTAAAACTTGCTCCTAGACTGACAGATATGGATTTAGTTATAAATGTAAGAGATTATCCTCAATCAAATAAGTATTTTGGAGGTCCGTTACCTATTTTTTCATTTAGTAAGGTAAACAAATAATTGTTTAAATTTTTTAATTTTACTTTATCAACGAGAAATTTTGAATATTATAAAATATATTGTAGACTTCAGAATATTATGATATTACATATCCAGCGTGGGCGTTTTGGGAAGGTGGACCCGCAATTTCTTTATATCCCCGTGGCCTTGGGAAATGGAATGAACATCGTACATCTTTAGATAAAGCTAGTAAAAACACATTGTGGGAGAAGAAGGATAATAAAGCATTCTTTCGGGGTTCTAGAACGAGTTCAGAGCGTGATAATTTAGTATTGTTAAGTCGCAAGAAGCCAAACTTGGTAGATGCTCAATATACAAAAAATCAAGCATGGAAGTCTAATGAAGTAATAATTTCTAATTTCTATCTTTGTATATGGTTATATCAATTTGATAATTTTTTCTGCTCTTATACAGGATACATTATACGTACCTCCTGCTTCTGAAGTTTCTCTGGAAGAACATTGTAAATATAAGTACCTATTCAATTATCGAGGTGTTGCAGCGTCATTCAGGCACAAACATTTATTTTTGTGCCGATCTTTAGTATTTCACGTTGGAGATGAATGGACTGAATTTTATTACAATGCAATGTTACCTTGGTTACATTACATTCCTGTTTCCAAGGATGCTAATCAAACAGTATTAGAGTGAGTTATTCTTTGCGTTTTGTTGTTAACAGTATTTTCTTTCTTTATAAAATGTTACAATCTTCATGTATACTTTTTCATTTTCAGGGAATTAATACAGTTTGCGATAGATAATGATGAAATGTCTAAAAAAATCGCAGATCGTGGAAGAGATTTTATATGGAACAATTTAAAGATATCTGATGTCACACAATTTTGGGAAAAGCTTCTTAAAAAATATTCTAAACTTTTAACGTATAAAACTACCTTAGATAAAGATTTAATTAAAGTGGAAGGGAAGAAAAAATCTTGATAGATTTTGTATAATTTTATATATTTTTTTATTAAAGTTTTTATCTTTTACTGTAAAATATTAATTAATAAAAATAATTTGGTAATGATCAAATATTTTATTTATTTTTTTAAAATAAGCATTAGTTAAAATGAATGTACGTTTTATTATTGATACTGTACAATGCCAGGACATAGCACAATGTGGCAAGTTTCAATATGAATCATCCTGGTGGCCTAACAAAACACAAATAAAGGCCTTGTACTTTGTATTGCGTTAAATGCACCTTGTATTTGTGTATTGAATACTCTTTAATTTAAATATTTCATATAAATTAAATCATAGTATAAAATTTTCATATGTGTGACACTTTTCTTTTTGAAAAATTATTTATTCAACAAGTGTTAAAAAACTGTACAAGGCTTTTTGTGCTTTATTTTTCCTTAAATGCTAGATCATTTTTAAGTACTTAATCATTTATTTATAACAAAATTATGAAAACATTTCTTAGAATGTAAAGAAACATGGTAATGTCATTAATATCATTATAAAGATATATGTACATTATGAATTGTAAATGCCGTTTATATTTTGCAATATTTAATACTTTTTACATTAATGTAGTTTTTAACTTAATTTTGTTTAAATAATATATGTAGATATGAACTAAAATTTACAATACATAATGCACACATATTTTATGAAGTGCATATACGCACACTATACATTATTGCCTTTATGTCATTTTGGTTTTAAAGGATAATACAAATAGTTATTCTTGAATTAATAAAAATTATTGCTTTTCACGTATTACATTAAATCTCATATTTATAACATTATCTGAAATGAAAATGTAATTACTATAAACATCATTTATTATAGTTCTATTGCATAATAAAAGTTGTAGGAAGTTTAAAAGAAGATATGTTGTGGAGGGAAAGAAAATTATAGTGATTGGTGTTAATTAATAAGCAATAATAACAACAAAATAATAGAAACTTATATAAGAAAGCTGCGCTTTACTACAATATTTTCAAAACATTTTAAGGCACTTGTGATACAGTCATTACCATAAGTATTATAGATGTTTTCATAGGCTTTTTTAATTTTCAATACAGCAAATTATGAATTCATGATTTCAAGGTTCCCATAATTCTTTGCATTTCTTTACATTCTGACAGGTATTATACTTTTGTAAGAGAAGTAATGAAAACTCTACAATACTCATAATACTGTCAGTCAAGAAACCAATTGACTGTTATCTTTATCCGCTATCTGTCATGTTACAGCATGTCTCAGTTCTTTTTTTAAACCTATGTCCTGCATGGATACACGCAAAATAAGTGCCTTGGACGTTAATGTTTATACAAATCACGATGTACGAATAAAGAATAAATAGGCAGTGTAAAAAGTTTGATGACATAATATTGCATGCGACTTAAAATATTATGTATAAACATATTTTACATGTCCATAATTTCGTGTATTTTACATATATCGTATGTACAGCATGTCTGATACGCAAGAAACGATCGCTTAACAACGAAACGTAAAATCTTAACACATCTTGAGAAACATGCTGCGGAGAATACTTATTTATCTAGGAAACGAAGCAAACAACTTTTTTTCAAACAACTAGACGCGCAAAGTTGCTTCGATCGGAATGATTGTGAGATTAAAGTAATAACGAACAAAGAATCTCGCTCTTCGACACGTTCGTTGACCTCGAAGAAGATTATCACCCACGATTAACACACTGCCACTATTTTGGCACAGTTTCCATTCTCCGCGTACGATACACTTTGAGTTCACACTTCCCTCCCCCCGCCGTGGTCCGTTTGATTAATTATCTCTACTAGTTTTCCCATCGTTGATGATGATCCCCATCACTTTATATTTTCCAACAAATAAATCATCTCTGTCCCTTACGTAGTGGCAATAATTTTAGCGAAGATCATGGTCATCAAACTGAGCGGGAAATACCACGATAACGACGACGACGTGAAACTATCTCCCGCCGCAGAGTCCGCGTCCTGATTGGATGACGTGACTAGCTGCTCGTCCGTTTCGCCTGTCGAATTGTTTTTAAAAAAAATCGTAGAATTTATTTTTACGCGAACTTAGGGGGATCGCCGCTGATATCGGATGGTTCACCGCATCGAACACGCTCAGCGTGGCTTTTGCCTCGAAATAACAGAAGTTGGACAGAAGTCGGCTACGATCGCAGGCTTGTTGTTGTTTGGAACTTAGATATATATATAGCATAACGCCGCGAACTGGCGTTTCCGGCCCTTCCGTCTGTCCCGCAATGCCGATTTTACATTTTCCCCTTGAAAATTTGTTGTCCCGTTTTTTTTTGTTGCCTTCTAACCCGAGTTTACGACTCAACGAGAGATTCCTCGAACAAACAAGTTTTCATTCTCGTTCGTTCACTTTTTCCCGAACCCGCGCGATTCAGAGTGCAGGTTGTTGTCTTCTGGAAAAGTGAGTTTTTCTCGGGTTAATAGAACTGCGACTGCTCGTCATCGCAGGGTAAAAACGCAGTCCCAAGTGTTTGTGTGTTCGTCTTGGAATTTCTCAGCATCGTATGCGGTTTTCGAAGCAGTTTCGAAATTTTTTCTATTTGGTAAGTTATCGGTATATCCAGAGATCGTCGAATCTCAAGGACTTTGCACTTTTCTGTCTTCTCCTTTTTGAGAAATTTTTGGTGTAATGTTGAGGATTAACGTATCGAGGGAACAAATTATAATTATAAATTAAAGTCGAAGATGATGGAGAAATTATTTAAAACAAAGAAATTAAGAAAACAATTCCAAATGAATATAACTCAAATTTAAATCTTTCAAACATTATCATTAAAAAAGAAAAGAAGGGAGATCTTATTTTTCTTTTTTTTATAGAAAATTATAAATATCGTAGAATGTAGAGAGCATTAAGTATACCAACTTCCGTTCAGACAGATCTTACCAAAAGAAATCAATCCGAAAATTAAAAAAGAAAAAAAAATGCAAATGCAAAAGAAAATGAGAACACAACATGCCCTGTACCAAATGATTCCTTGTAGAACGAAATTATTAGAATTAAAAATAAAAAATATTCGTGCAGATACTCGTGTGTGTGTGTGTGTGTAAAAAGAAATCAACAAAAGTACGTGCACATGTATGTGTGATGTTTGTGTGTAGGGATAGAAAAAAGAAATCTCAAAAGAAAAAGACATGGGAAATGGAAATGAAGGTTTTATTCGTTTATTGGAGAGAGAAAGGAGGCGACATTATCCTACGATAGATTAAGTTCCAAACAACGTAACCATCCGCCTTATAATCATGCATCTGCTTTACAGGCTTGTGCAAAGACGTGCTTCTATGCACGCGTGCATATTATTACACACGCATTATACTCGTATGGTGTTCGTGCTGTGAAACCATCCTTGGCGAGATTCGTGCGAAAATTCGTGCAGTATTATCAACGGAATGCATGTGTCGTGCGACACGGTGATTGAACTTTTTCACAGGCCTGCCTACAGATAGAGCTCTTCGCAACTTCTCCCTCCCACCTTGCGATTTAAAGTATCGCGCGTGTGTTGCGTGTCAGCCATTATTATGAAATAAAATAGGGGGAGTGTTTTGGCGCCTAGAGCTAATGTTGACAGGCCTGAGTCGAGAGAGAGTTCGGTAAAATATTGTTTCTTTCGCGTCAGATCGTTCAAAGCTGTTGAAAGCAGTATTGTCAAATCGTTTTGCGTGGCGGAGCAATCGAGTACAATTAGAGTTAAGTAAATTCGCTGGAGATGTTAGTGAAACAAAAGGCGTGCGTGGATGAAATTCGCGTTCAACGGAGAAGCGATTGACGTGACCGTTAGGTAATCAAGTTTCAATTGTCGAAACAAGAACATGGTATAATATAAGATAGAAGGAGACAAATACAGAGCGAGGGCAAATGAGTAAACTACAAATAATACGTGGACAAATGCAATCATGTGATTAAGCGACAACGTAATAAGTAGGAGAAAGAGAAACGTGATAGATAGAGAAAACTGAATGTAATGTTGTAATATTTACTGTTTTCAGCAAACTGGGTCCGGCGACGGTGATAGACGTTATTTCATACTACCTCTCTTTTCGCAGTCGACACAGAGGTATTATTTTTTTTTCTGTTTCTTTTCTTTTTTGTTTTTTTTTTTTTCGTACGGAAATACAAAACTTCATTTTTTTTCCTCGCCTGGCTAGTAAATACTCTGGGCTTCGGAAAGCGTGCGAATATAATTCCCGAAATGATCTTCTTGTTCAACAATTTGTTCAGAGGTTGAGATTTTGGAATTTATGTTTGTACCATAAGGAGGACTTCCGGCCATTTAGGAAAGATTCAGTGACTACTTCAAATTTTATTTAAGAAAAGCGATATTGATTTAGTCTGATATTCGATAACATTGGCAATATTTAACGTTTAATCAAATTTAAGGGGAAATTAAATTTTCGTGGGAATAACTTTCGATTTCAGTTCACGGAAGTCATCCTAGGTTTTTAACAGAAATGCGACCGAGTGAGAATTCTGCACATTGATAGAAATAAAACCAGTTGACTTTTAGTAATAAAAATTGAACTCTTTAGTACAAAAGTTGATTCTTTTTTTAAAATTTAGAGTTTATAATATTGTGCCAGACTGTTGTTTTATAATTACTTTTTATGATCGTTGAAGCAATAAATAAAATATTTCTATCGATGTGAACGTATGATTTATGTAATGAAAAATCAATGAAAATGAACGATTCACGAATCAACGTATTGTTAGCAAATTAAATCGTGTGTTACGTGTACCGTGATATCGAATATCCAATGATACTTGGTTATTCCAACTTGGATTATTGTTCGATGTTAACATTAGTACCACCACCATGAGATATCCAAATTAAGATGACCACCATATTCTCAAACGTTGTATTCATCGAAGAAGTTTGCACAAACTTTGCATAAATATTATATAGGGTGGGCCAAAAGTTTCTTCTCAACTATTTTCTTTTTTTTTTAACAGAACATCAAAATATAAGAAAAAAATCTAATTTTATTAATTTTAAATTAAATTTAAGTTCAAATATGATTTTTTCGTTATGTTTTAAAAATTATTTCTCTCAAATTTTGACCAGCCAGAGCGTTTGCAAATTAATAAAGAAAAATAAAAAGAATTACGGATTTATTTTAGTAGAAAGTGACTTTTGGCCCATTCTATTTAACGAATGCACAAATTTCTTCGATGGCCAAAGACCCTAGGTATGTAATAGCCAGGTGTTCGAGACACCAAATGCTGCATCCTCGCCTTTTCTACTTTTTAACGTAAATATTCACAGTTTTTATGCTTTTACGTTTTCACAGTTGCGGCTCGAAGTTTCTAGTATCCACTATGCATGTACGTACAGACTAGGAAGATCAATGTTGCCATCAACGTGTCAATCAATATTAATTTTTTGGAAAAACGTCAATGTATCGAAAATGGTAACAGTTTCACGATGAAATGGATATTGTGAAACTTCTCCGTGGCGAGGTAAGAATCTGGTTTGACTCGAATGAAGGTTTAGTACCTGCGTCTAAAATGATGTCTCCGACGTCACCGCGTCTGTCATCGTTCTCAACAGAATCACCGTCGTCGGGCTCCAGGATGCCGTCATGCGGAAACGTGTCTTCGGGATTTTCACGAAGCCACTGGACATTACCTAACGTTCCCTTGTTCGCTGATCTGCATCCGAACCACCAGTACGCCGTCGATCTAGGGAATGCTGGATCAGCAACGTCCACCTACGGCAACGTTCGACACAGCTGACTCACAGGTACCGTGACGCAATTTATTTATTTATTTATAATATAACACTGCGAGGCAAGCAAATAGAGAGACGATTCGTCAATCTACTTAATAATTTAAATCAATTTAAATTCATAAATTAATAATAATTTAAATTCAATCTCGATAATCAGATAACTGAAAGTTCTCACGATGAAACAACGCACAGTTTTAACGTCGACAAGCGACAAGATATTTTTTAGGTACTTACGGAAAACGTCCTGTCGTTGAATCGGTAGTAAGCGTCTCCCTTGAAGAAGTACGTGTAACCACGATAGACGATAGAGGCGTCGAGATTATCTGGGATGCCCTCCCAGTTTGAGATCAGTTTCGGATAGGTGTTCTTCACCGGTGGCTTTTGAGCAGGGTCGAACCTCCAGAATTTCGTGCCTTTGTAGAAGTAGATCTTGCCGTTTCCAGTCCAAACGGTCACGGTGTCGATGTTGTCCGGGATACCTGTAAAACCTTCGCTGATTTCCTTTGGATAATCACCGTCCATCCTTTTGCCTACGTATCGCCAGTATTTCGAGCCCTAGAAGCACAAGTATAAGTTACTTTTATTTCGTTTGCGTTCCTTTATACTTGCTCGACTATGTGTATCGTTTCTACTTGTACCTTGAAGAAGTAAGTCTTCCCATTTTTGTACGTAAACGCAGCGTCTATGTCCCCTGGTAGTCCCTTCCACGAGTGTGAAATGAGTTTAGGGTAGCCGACTGCCACACCATCCGCTGTTAGTCTCCAGTAATAATCGCCTAAACGTAGTCCAAACAAAAATATAAAGAATCACTTTCAATTTCTAAAGGAATTCTTCTTCTTCTTCTTCTTCTTCTATTTTTCTTTAATGTCGCATCGACAGCGAGGTCATTAGCGACGACGGTGCCATTAGATATGTGTGTAGTAGTTTATGTTTTTGAGATATTTCAATACTCTTTGTATGCCATTTTGAGAAGTCAGGTTTATGTTTGCGTTGATTCCGTATTTCTGTCTTTGGATTTCTGTGGTGTGGCATTCGTGCAGTA